TATAAGACTAGTAGTTTCATTTAGGGTGCGTTTACTTCTGAGCTAATAGTGCTAATTCTGAACACCGAAAAGTGACGTCATTAGTATGTGTATTCGTGTTTAAATGGCCAGTTAGAAAGTAAATGCAAAGCTAACAAGATATATGGCGGTTATCCTCAAATAATATTGTCAAAGCTGCTGTTTTAAATGTTATGTTACAGGAAGAATTACTCCGAACCGGATGAGGATGGTCTTATTATAGATATAAATGTGGAAAATATGAAAGAAGAAAAAAGAAAAGCAAGATCCATAAAAAAGATAGAAACTTTTATTGAAGAGACTGTACCTGTTTATAATCCAACCGATTTTAAACAGCATCTTAGACTTACAAGAGAATCTTTTGAAAGTCTTCTTTCAAAAATAAGCCCAACTTTAGACATAAAAAAATTACTGCCCCTGGAAGATGACCTTTCTCTCCTCAAAAGCAGGTTTTATGCTGCCTACGGACGTTGGCAAATCAAGAATCATTCAGGTTGGTTTACAGGTTTATAGGAAGTAATATATTAAATCAGATGCAGTATATAAGAGAATAGCAGATTATACATATACTGTATATAATATATATTTAATGCGATTGTTTTATTACCCCGTGAATGGATGTGACGTTGCTCTTTTATGGTGTAACGAAACTGAGTTTAAAATTAACAAATAATTCAAATTAAATACAAAACTTTTGTTTTCTTTCTTTTCTCTAGGGTATTGGCGATCGTTTTAATATGTCTAGACGCACTGCGTGGAATATTTTAAATAAGGCTGTTAATTCTCTCTTAGTGTTAAATAAAAGTGAAAAAATAATCTTTTGGCCATCACAGCAGGATGCTGCAAGAACAATGGAATTTCTTTTATACCCAATCTGGTTTCCCTGGATTTATAGGTTCCGAAGAAGAAGCAGCTTATTTCAAAAGAAATAAGTATTACTCTGTCATCCTATAAGTTCAGTTTGTAATGAGAAAATGGTATTTTTAGACTGCTATGTAGGTAACGCTGGGTCAGTACATGATGCCTGTGTTTTCCGACGATCAACATTGCATCAGAGTAAACACAGATAATGAATTTTTCAGCTGTGGCCATATTTTGGGTGATAGTACCTGTTTGTTATCTGAAAATTTGCTAACGCCATATCGAAATAATTGGAATCCCAAGAATTATACAATAATAAATTTTCAATTTGATGAACAAGGAAGTGAAGAAACTACAATGCATCCTGCTGTCGGAAAAGCTACAACAAAGCGTGATGACATTGCAAATGGAATGTTTGTTAATCTTAAAAATTTCAGAACACTTGGTCAGTAAAATATTGAGATGAGTAAAAATTCATCTCAATATCTTACTGACGAAACATAATTGAAAATATTTGTTTCAATATCTCCATTGATATATTTATTTGAACAAAAGTAGAAATATTCATACTGTATTGTATAAAAGATTCTTTGTATGATTTTGTTCAATTATTATTACATGTATATTGTAAATAATAGTATATCATCACTGTTTAATAAAATTGTATACTTTCATTGTGTAATTTATAATATTCTTTTTATTTACGTTTTTATGATGTATTTACTCAATGCTATGAAAATAGTGGTATTATTTAATTTTAGAAATTCCTAAAATGCAAATAGTTTAAACAAGAATTTTTATTCAAATAATACAATTTATCGAGAAGTTATTTCCCATATGTGAGTGAAAATTCATTCAAGTAAACAAACTTATGTACTTTTGGATTATTATTAATGCTGTTCATTTCTTTACGATTTATTTAATACTCTGAACTTCTGAAGATTCCAAACGTGTATAAGGTAAACTTCACTATTAATCATAAACAACGAGTCCGACTTAATTTTGTCACATTAACCCTCTGTTTATGAAAAAAAAGTCATCTACAGCTATTGAACCTTACAATTAAAAAAATAAAGATCATTGTAAACTTTTTATACAACAAATAATTGAAATTTATAAAAATATTTTTATTGGTAAATTTCAAATATTTTTCCAAAAATAATTCCATTTTCACTTCTTTGTACTGTACAAGAAAGTCATTTTTTCATGGGAGCAGTCATATTGAATTAGTGCAAAGCTGGACAGCGAACTAGCTAGCACTCCAAGCTTACTAATTCTATTAAAAATGTCGTCACACAACTCTAATATAAACGCCAACAAGCGCGGCGCTCGGACGAAAGTATACAGTAAAATGCCGACAGTAAAATTAGCTCAGAAGTAAACGCACCCTTTCACTCTAAGGACTTAGGTCAGATCTTCATTGAAATTTTTAATATGAAGTTTGGCCCGAATATGTCGGACCTCATTTCTCGTCACTCGTCCGAGGAGTCCTTTGCGGGTCTGACCGAATCTGTAAATGGTCAGAAATTGCCTTTTAAGCGGAAAGAGAAGAGAAAAGATACCTTTAGAATAGAATAGAATCATCTTTGTAACTCAAAACATGTAAATTTTAAAATAACTTATAAAACCTTTTCAGTCATTAAGTAAAAATATTTTAACACTCTTATCAACTATTAGCAAATATTATTATCAAAATAATCTTGTAACTATTTATTTAACCGATAGTTTAGACCTATATTATTTAGCGAGAACCATGTTAAATAACCTCATTTTATCTCACAGAAAAGTATAGAGCTGTACAAGATTTGATAAGTAATCTTAAATAGTATCTCTTCAAATTATAAATAATAACTGATTATAATTAACATTGTTAAAATAAGAAAAACAGTTCGAATAAATCGGTGTCAAACAATAAAACATCAGTATAAAATAGCACGAACACACGTGATCGTAAGTAGGACAGCTTTAAAACCCGTTTTCAACTTGATTATAATAAATAAATAATAAATCATCTTTAAAACTCATCATTTGATAATAAATGTTAAAACATTTTGAATAAGAATTTTTCAATCAATATTTCAGTTTGAATTTTATGTAGACGTAAATAAACTAAATCATATTTTTATCATATTATTTATATTTAATATGTTTAATATTTCATTGCATTAAATAAAATATTAATAAAAGCTCGTGTATGTCGGTATATAGTAATTTTCTGCTTATTAATTCATTATATCAGTGCACTCTAAAGCCAGAATAAGAAACTCAATCTGCATTTTCATATCAAAGCTGGTATTTAAATTATCCAACAGATGAATCAATTATACACGAAGCTTATTTAATATTGTAGGAGTAGATTATAATCTATATAAAGGAATGCAGTTTTTAAGACCTCTGATATATTTAATAATACCAAAGCAATGTTAAGTGATCGGATTTACTAAAATATTATAGCCTAACTGTAATATGAAATTAGTAATGTCGTCCCATTGGTTGATTCTATAGTAAAATATATATAGGCTACATAGAAAATTTAATATCGTATATAGCCTAATTCATATTTTGTATAATTATAGAAAGATTCACTAACTTGTAAGATGAGATGCAAGATGTGTGCCAATGCCATACTTTAAATTTTCTACATTAATAATTTGCATATATAACTTTTTACATCAAAATTAATGATATACTGTCCCAGAAACATATGATGTTTAAAATTTTTTTATTGTTTCACCTTCCTAATTTATTTTTTTATTCAGCTGTGAAAATATACTCATTGACCCATACATTGCAAAATTTAAATAAAATTAGATTGAAAATTGCTCACGAGATGGCGATACAATTGACAAAGATTCATATTAGAAAACTGTTTCAAATATAAATAAAATGTAAAATGTTAATTTTTATTCATTCCGTGAAAAAAATAAAAATTTTTTATACTGAATATTATTATGGTTTATTAAATATTATGTATCTATAATCTAATTGATTTATTGACACAATTAAAATTTGAAAATGAGAAAGTTTATAGAAATATGGAATAATTTATGTGTCGAGTAGTAAAATTCTATACAATAGAATAATTCTAATTCTGAGTACAATTTTCCAACTGTTTAATTCAATATTGCTTTCATTTCAACACTCAAGGCGCAACAAAAACTTTACTATTTGTAATTTAATAGAATCAATTATAAATCTACTGCGACTTAAATGAGCTTATCTATATATAGTACTTACATTATCGAATTGAAACCAAACCTTGATATTTCAATGGAAAATTAATCCTTTAATATTGCTGTATATACTGTATTTTTCAGCTCAGCAGGAACTGAAAATAGCATGTGCTATACACCTGCTATCTCTACCTGTGTTCTGTATTGTTCTGTATATATTAAAAAATTATATAATATTACAATATATAGTTAATATCATATTATAAATATTTTATACTCAATATTTTTGATAAACTACTCTTTGGATTTAATTTGATTATTTAAATCTCTGTAAAATTCATAGTTTAATATCCTTAGAAAATATTCACTTATTCCAAAATGAAAGATATTTAAATATTTTAGTAATAAACTAGTAATTAAAGAAATTATATACATGAAACAAATTGACTCTTATCTTCGGTGATATTCATCTTTAATGATATTCTAGTCACGATCATTTCGTGGAAAACGAACTAATCATTACAGTAGTTTCCCGGAGGACTAGCTTCCTAGCCTGTAGGCTATTTGTAGGTATTACAGCTTTTCATGCTTTTTTACCTGTAATTTTTATAACCCGGCCGGCCAATATTATTACTTTCAGTAATTTATTCACGAATAACGGAATCGTTAAAAAGCAAGAGTATTTTCTAAATGAAGTGAATTGAATAAATATGTTGAAGTCAGTAGTTTAAAACATTTACTATTTTAATTAATTAATACAGTAATATTAACAATAATAAAGTGTGTGATAGAAACACTGCAACGTTGAAAATAGCATGGAAAAAATAAAATAAAATTTGAGCATTTATTAAGATTTTTAAAATATTAATTTGAATTATAATATTATCAATTTCGTGAATATATTTGAAGATTAGTCGCTGTGTAGAGCCTCCACATAAGATACAAGAGACCATTATCAATAATAGGATATCCATTGATTTCGTTTCCCATACTGATCTGATAGATAAGAAATAAACATAAAATTCATATATTTACATTATCGTTTAAGTATGCATTCAATAGATATTCGATTGACATATTTGACACTTCAGCAATAAATTGTAAATTAAAAAAATTTAAAAGAGAGCGTATAGAAATTCGATTGGTTTAGAGCGTACCATTTTTAAATATCTCTTACCGTGACTGGTTGTCTGGTTATGTTTTCGAACGTAAACCGAGTGACGTTAACACATTTCCCGCCGTCTGTGCAGCTGCACGAAAATGCCTCCGACAACTGATGATCATAGCTTTAATAGCTAGCAACGAATAAACCTTGGTGAATCTTGTGATTAAACTCATACGTCCCAATAGAATTTATAAGAATGAATTTCATCTGTGACAGTGTCTCTCAGGACACGTGGTACTTAAAAGAAACATTGTCATTGTATCTAAATTCGGTTTGGAACTTATTTGGGATTGAAGATGACAACAGTGAATTTAACTGGATTAATGGAAGATATAACACGTGGATATTTTCATTAATTGCTTCTTGTATTGTAGGACTTAGTGGGATTGTTCCATTATTAGTTGTAACTACAGAATGTGATTCTAGTATTGAACATGTCAAAGGTAAGATAAAATTTTCCTATTTATCATCAAAAATTTGATTCATATCATACATTATATATATATATATATATATATATATTCAGTGAACAAATAATGTTTATAATGGAGTTTAGTTCATTATTGGACATCCTTTATTTAGACATGATTCATTGCTAACTATTGAATTGAGCATTTTCCATTTATACTATGGCCTTCAGTTTTTGTTAAATATTACAGACCTTTAAATTACTTGAATTTTAATTTATATTTAATACAACTAAAAGTATTATTTAACTTACATAATACAAGTGTATAAGTTTATAATATAATATAATATAACACGCTACAAATGTAAAGTGACATAATTTTTTATAACCAAATACAATATTTAAATATATATTTAAACAAAAATTAAATAAAAAAAGGTATCATTGTGTGAACTTTTTATTTAATTCACATGTTTAAATATATATTTAAGAATATAAATAAATGTTAACGATGAAGGTCATACTTAAATCTTACAAAAATAAACATTAGTTAATTATAAAACTAAAATATTGAAAATATAGTGTATAGTAATAATAATAATTCTAAATGTTTAACTGTTTTAACATTCATATTTTAGAATAGTATCTACTGTTATCTTTTAGTTTATTATAATTTAAATAATGTAAGAATTTTTTAAGATAATGAATGAATGAAAATTGACTATTCAGTTTTTATCATGTAACTGATGTTTATATATTGTAAGGAGAAAATACTCATCTTAGATATAATAATTATATATTGATATATTAATTATATTTGCATAGGGCAGTGGTTCTCAACCTTTCTGAGGCCGCGGAACACCATTACAAATGGTGTTCTGCGGCCTCAGAAAGGTTGAGAACCACTTTTATACTTTTTATTACACGGAGCATTAGCATCAATACATTCAAAAATTGATATGCAATTCCATGTTTACTGTTCTTGGGAAACAATGAAGCAATAAACTAATAAACTTTAATATATTGAAAAAAATAGAAACATGGAATGACCTATGAATATAGCAATGGGAATAAATTTGAATAAAAACTTTAAAATATTTTCTTTCGTGGAACACTCGAGGTAGGTTTGCGGAACACTGGTTAAGAACCACTGGCATAGGGAATAAAGCAGGATAAAAGAAAATATGGGTAAAAGTCCATCCTTCATACATAGCATGCACCTTGTATGAAGGATGGACTTTTGCCAACATTTATATTTACTTTAAAATATTTAGTAAAACTATCAAAATCTTGATTTTATTTTCTAAATAATATAATTAACATTCAGATGTCTACAAAATTAAAAATTTTAATAAAAGTTTTAACTTAGAATATTTTGAATATTCTTCATTTCTTAATTATCTGTCAATAAAAAATTTTCTTTTTGAAAACTTTAGATTAAGTTTTTTGAAACAATAGATATTTGACTTATTTGTTTCTATAAACTTATATTTATTTATAACTTTTATTTTATTTCAGATAGAATTTGTATTTAGTTAATATAGATTACACAAAAATTCATTTTAAAGATTAAAAAATTACTTATTTTATATTAATAACCTCATTGTGTATATTTAGCTTATTTAATAAAGATTTATTTTTATTTGTTTTATCCATTTACATGAAGTTAAGATTTCCTGTTATATACTTTTTAGTTTTATAAGAACTAAATTTCTAATTTTATTTCTCATCAGTTTATTATTTTTTTAATATAATATCCAAATAAACTTACATATTCTAGATAAATCTAATGTATGTTACATTTTTGAACTTTTAAAAATTTTAAATTCCAAGGATAGATATATCTTACTGTATAAAATACTACTGTATAAAATACTGTATTTTATACAAAGCATAAGTAAATAAGTAGCATAGCAGCAATGTATATATTTAAAACTTTACATACATTTGTAAGATACTAAATAAAGAAAAAATTTCAATACTTTCAATACTTATTACAAAATATATTGTAAAATTAGCATGTGATATAACTTTATGCAAATTGCATAAAATGCTTTTAACTAATCCTACACAAAATCACTTAGTTTAAAATGTTATTGTGAAAAAATCAGTTCAATTTCATGTTGACTACTTTCAACATATTAAAGAACTAATTCATTTTATGTAAGTGGCTGCAAGAACTATAGAGGAAGTTATCCAATTCATCAAAATATAAGTGAATTTTATTGATAATCACTTGTTACAAATCAAGAAAATTTTAGTTTTGTAATAGATATGCCATCATTAATAATCTAATATTGGTGATGAAATGTATAATAGTAAAAAGTAAAAAGATTTAGTAAAATTTAGTTATGCTAATATTTATGCCAATGAAGATAGAAAAATTCTTTAGTAGGAATCTATGTTAAAATTATAAAAGTATGAATATGGAAAAATTAAAGACAGTATTACAAATGCTGAAAAAATATAAATTTAATCAATACAAAATGATAATCTATAAAGAATCATAAACATGAAAAAGAGATTATGATGATTAATTTTTTCTGTAAATGATTAAGATTCTAACTGAAATAATGAGCTGATTTATTTGCAAAGATGATCTTTCTTTTTTATTTTATCTTCTTGATTGCATTAACACACATGATTTAATCAAAAAATATTTTTTCTGAAGCAAAAGTATAATGTTTTTTTGGATTGTAAGGATCTTTGCTATACAATGCTGATACTTGTAGCCCATGGACTGCATTTGTACATTTTTAGGGAGATTATTTGATTATTCAAACACATTTCATTCTTTGTTATTGATTGCTACCTCAGTAAAATGACATTCCAGGGTATATATTTTAATTTTTGCATTTCAAATCTAGTCTTCAACACTAGTTATTCATAAAAAAAAAGAGATTTTGATTGTTATGTATTTTAATATTTAAAATTTTAGTGCATTATGTGCATAGCTTTATGTTGATGTTGAATTATATATATGAAGAACTTTCATCAGCAGACATAATTAAATCTTTTGGAGTGACTGAAATTCTGACTCTGAAAGATGATAATGTACCATATTCTGATTTCAGGTCAAATTAAGACATTTATGGAATAAAAATCATAAGCTTGGTTTTTCCTAAACATAATAGCTGAGAAATGTTTAGAAGTACTGAATGATATTGTTTTTATTGAATTTGTTATTTAAATGTTTTGTTATCAGTAGCATAGCTAGAGTAGAGCAGAGAAAGTAGCATTTATGGTCTACTACAATATAAAGGAAAGTTTGTTAGAATAAGACAAGATACTAGACAGATTTATTTTTCCAAGAAAACACACTGCTTATTGTCAGAAATTTTTAATAACGATTAGGACTCTTGTTTCCTCAAAACAGCCTTATTGATTATCATACCTATTTAAGCACTTAGTTTTGCTTAATTAATTAATAACAACATTGGTAATAGTGTCCTAATTTTTTGATGGGTTTTTTTTTCTATGGCTAAATGTTGCTTTCACTTTTTACTTTTTACATATGTTTGAATGTTGTTTTTGTTCTTTATAGAGAACAGCAAACTCAAGGACTGCCTCAGGTAGCACAATTATGTTATGCCACTAGTTGTTACTCATTATATTGAAATACACAGTATTTATTTTCAACTAGATCTTATTCATTTTTATAGAAGATAGTCATGATTTGGAATTGAACATCCTACAGAAATTAAATCTTCAATAATTTTTGTATTAAAAATGCTAGAAAATGTATGTAATGCTTTATAAATTTAATTTTATTTTACATTAAAAATTTTTTTACTATTAATTCAATTTTAAGTAAAAATATAATTGAACTTAAAAGACATCTCTCTGACAACTTAAAAGACTAATATTGTTTTTGTGCAACAAGAATATTGAATTAGATTATCTTATTTGATTTTGTTTTTAAATTTAAATGTTTGTATATTAAAAGATTATACTCGTAGATGAACTAACGTAGACTTTGTCCTTTGCTCTCATTGTCCATTTTAAATGTTATTGTTACAGACAAGTAATGGTCGTTGAAAGAAATAGATCTGATGTTAAATTCTATAAGTATCTTAAATAAAAAGATATATACAAAATTGTTTAAAGGTTAAATGAAAATTACAGGGCATTGAACTGAAATGATCATAATTTTTTTCAATTTACATTATTGTTCTGAAATATTTTATAATAATTGAAAGATATTTATAATTTTGTTTAAAAAAATTATAAATAAACTTGAATCTAGCCATATTACTATGCAATGAGTCACATGATTATATTTATAAATTATAAAATTTAAGTTTTTAGTAAATATATCATCTTGATATCAGTTTGCTTTTAATGTTTCCTTTATTGTCTCATAAAGTGTTCTTGAGAAATTTTGATTTTTTTTTAACTCAAAAATTATGGAAAAATAAAATTTGACATAAAGAATTTTTTAAAACATATTTAAAATGTTTATTGATAATATTAATATATTAAATTTCTGCTTTCTCAGATGTTTATATTTATATACTTTTGTACTTTTATTTTTATTTTGATATGAAAACTAATATTTAAGTTAGTTGTATTTATTTTATTTTTTCCTAAATTGTACTTTAAATATTTTTGACATAGGCCCTAGCTTGTACTGATTTCCCTAAAAATTTAGACTTATTTTTGTTTCATTTTTCCAGCAATATTCATTTAGATTCATTTTAATTCATAATTTCATCTTTTCAGACAAATTTGTAATGATATCATATATCTTTAATTGGATGACTTTAATCTGATGTTGGAAATTGGTATTAAAATAATAATTTACATTTATGAAACAATTAAAATTGTGATTTTATTGTATATGAATAACTAGTTTATTCAATATACATTCAATACTAACTTCTATATAATTTTCTTGCTTTAAAAATATCTGCATTTAAAATTATTTACATTATTTCTTCTTTTGGAAAATATCCTAAATTCTGTACTCAATGTGAATGAGTATTCTAAATACTTTTTCAAAAAAATGCAGTAAAGGAAACTTAGGCATATTCT